CTAGCTGAGTAAATGAACACTATTGAAAAGATGAATTAATCAGCATCACAAAGGCAATTTGATTTTCAAACATTAGCAATTTTTAAGTTCTCCACAATAATTGAACTACTTCAGTGTTCTTAAGAAAATGTAACAGATTATAATACAATAATAAATATGATTCACTTAAGATACATTATAAAATAAGCAGTTATCTAATGCACAGTAATTTGATGGTAATCAATAATTGTGTAATACTTGATGATGATTAGTTAAAGTGTTTATTATGTGATACTATAATCTCACTAAGGGGAAGAGGGGTAATCCTATAGTAACCTATAATTACGTCATATATGAAAGTCTCCTAATTCAATTGAAAATATTCTCACCTTTTAATAAATATAAATTTATTTAATTTTATATATAATATATAGTATATATTAAAAATTTAATAATTATAATATTTACTAAAATTTATAAATTAATAAAATTTTATAAAAATTTTAAAGTTTTTATTTATTTAAGAATTATAATTAAATAAATTTTAAAAAGTAAAGTTAATATAGTTTAAAATTAGTTTATCTATATTATTAATATTAAAAAATATTAAAGAATGATTTACAAAATTTATTTTATGTACATTAATTACTTATAAATAGTGTTTTATAAAATAGATTAATTAGTCTAAAATATAAGCAAAGAACTATTAAATACAGATTCCCGTCAAAAGTCTTCAGACATTTTTTGGCTCAATATAAAACTTGGAATTTTTAAATTTTATTAAAAAATATTTATTAAAATATTTATTAAGTACGATATGCTACACATCTAGTACTAAATAATTAGTACTAGTCAGGCCTTCATTTGCTTTAATCACAGTCTGAATTTGCTGCAGCATACTATCGACCAAAATTTTCAATAGTTTGTATCAGAATTTGTTTCTATACCTTCATAACATTAATGATTCCAATGTCATTCATTCTTTTTAAAGTGTTAAGAACTATTGACTTTTTACAACTGATAGTCATGATAATAGTTTGATAACTATCACTGCATTGATAGCAAAAAATTATGCCACTGCATTATTTTATTGATAATTCTTTGGACATTTTCATTATTTAAAAAGGTAAAATTTTATTTTGATCTAAAATCAAAATAAACAAATCAAACACGTATTTATTTAGTTTGATTCAAGTAAACAATGTCCAGAATATTATATAGCCATAATTTTATATAGTCACATAATATAATCAGTGCGAAGAAACCCCTGAAAGATGGCGTCCAGAGATTTTTGATGGGGGTCTGTACTATATAACTTAATAAATTTATCAATTAGTCTGCCCGCTTATTGTTTAAATTAATACAACTTTATTTATAATATTTGTTTGTTATGCATATGATTGTATACCTTTTTACTAATTGATTAAAATATTATATTTATCACTCTAGATTTCTCAACAGTTTCTGTTACCTAGTATTACTATATTAAAAAAATTAAACTAATACTTTAAATTTAATAATTTATTTATTTTTTCTATTTTTTTTATAAATGCTATACAACTTATTTTCTATTTTTTATAAAGTCTGTAACTTTTAATTTATTTAATTTAATTTATTATTTTTTAATATTTCTATTATTTTATATATTTTATTATGTTAAAGTATATTTTTATTATATTATATAGATTTATAATGTAACAAAAAGTTAGCTGTAGTAAATTTAATTTTGTATAAATAAAATAACTTTTGCTAAATTTGTAAATTAAAGTTTAAAAAATCTAAAAACTTTAGAAGCTTAGAATTTTTTATAAATTTTAAATTAAGCTATTTTAAATAAATATTATATTTAATATTCACTTCCTTTCTAAAAATTACCAAATTTTATATTATTTAACAATAATACTATATATATTTTAATTGATAATCACATTAATTATTATTTTTAAATAATTTTCTTTTTATAACTTTTTTATATTTTATTTGAATTATTTTAGTTATAATAGAGTTTATTAAATATCTTAATTTAGTAAAATTAATTTCTTTATTAAATCAAATCATTATATATCTATTACTATTTTGTAAAAGTTTAATTAATAAATTTTATAAAAATTTTTAACTTTTTTTACATAAAATTTCTATTAAAATCTTTTATATTTAATTATATACAGATTATTAAGGTTGTTTGTCTAAATTTATTTTAGATTTAGCAAAACATCTATACTATAATTTTGTTAATTTTTTACTAATATTTTTGATATGGTTTTTATAAGTTTTAATATAGTTTTAACTTTTTTAGAATATGCAGATATTTTAATAAAGTTTTAATATAATTTCACTAAATTTTACCTTTTACCATTTAGACAATTTGCAAAACCTCTAAATTTTATTTAGTAACCTTACAGATTATTAAAAATACTTAAAATAAATTTTTATTTAATTGTAAATATAAAAGGAGATATAAAAACTTTAATAGGACTAAAAGTGCTAAAAATTAAATAACAATTTTATATTTAAAAATTTATTTAATAAAATTACATTTAATATAAATAAGCAAAAAGATATTGAGGTATATAGTTAAACAGATACAAAATTTAAATAGATACTAATTGAAGAATATCTTAATAATAAACTACTAGAAGTTGTAATAATTCTTAAATTTACTAAAATCAAATTCAAAATTATTCTGTTATCATCTATTTTGCAATATATTTTATAAATTAATCTATTAAATATTATTATACAGATTGCATAATAGCTATAACTTTTATTATTATGAAGACCTAAAAATAATTATTTAGATTTGCTTTATAATAAGATTATTATTCTTTATCAAAAAAAATATTTGGTTTATATAATAATATAGGAAAAATATTTATTGAGCAGCTAACTCAAATATTGTGATACATAGATCTATATCTGTCTAAATTTAATTTACTAAAATTATTTACTTAACTGCCAATCTACATATAAAATCAAAATTATAATCAATTTTTTCATATTATAAAACACAAAAAAATTGAAGTAATTCAAGAAAAATTGGCTGATTTAATTAGATTTTTAAATTTATATTTTAGATTTATGTTTTATATAGTTATAAGCTTCTAATGATCTATAGATTAATATAATATTATCTATTTTAGAATTTTAACAAATAATATACAAGCATATGGAATATCTTAAATAGGTTAATAATACAATAAAAAAGGTTTATTATTTTAATACTTTTGTATAATATGGTATAAGTAATATAAGCATGTAAATAATTGATTAGTGTGAGAAAAGAATAAACAAAAATGATACTTACAATGAGCTGGATAGTTTATTATAAGAAAAGAATATTATAAATTTGTAGATTTAAAGATGTATCTACTGATATAAATAAATTGAAAGACATAATTTTATTAAAAATATTGAATTAGACATTTTAATTTATATATATCAGTACTATTGTGACAATTATCTTGATACTAAAAATTTTATACAAATAATTGAATTGATCATCTGAAATTAAAAATATACAAATATTAATAGCAATTCAAGAATTTATTTTACAATATTTTTTAAGAAAAAATATGTTAAAAAGGTGAAATTTTGTTAATTTTTCAAAAGTATGAATATTGATTAATGTATTATTTCCTTTTCAAGTATTTTTTAATAATAATCATTAATTCAACAATTAATTTATGATATTATTAAAGATACTGCTATATTATTTAATATTATTTTGAAAGAATTAGAGAAACATCTTTAATGAATGTTAGCATTACAAGATTCAAATATTATTATAAATCTCTGAATAAACAATGGATTTAGAGGAATCATATTAATAAAAAAAAAAATCCTATATTTTTTTTTTGATTATAAATTACATGAATATTAATACATTTGGCTTATAATCATCAACTTTTTTACAAAATGATTGATTACAGTATATTAATGGGCAATTTATTGTAAGTCAGAATATGATAAAATAATTGATAATATTAACAGGTAATCCGATTTTGCTTCAGGTCTAGAGTTCCGAACAGGTCGGATCAGTATATTTAGTAACATTTGAAATTTTTTTGGGAAGAATTATAATTGCAATTCTAATTTATTAAACGAAGGATTTAATTCACGGAAATACTGCAGAATTAAAGGTAGGTATTTTTAATATACATGACATTCAAAATATAATTCTTAACTTCGCCACAGAAAATCATGGGAAGAATTTTCGGAAAATTTTATTTCACAACTATAAAATTATAAAGAGTGAAATAATTAATGTTGAAATCAACATTTTAATAGAAGATTCTCTAATTCGTTAATTCTTATTGTAACTTCAGGAGGATTATTTTATAATTGATCCATGTTTAAAATCGACATGTGATCTAAAGATAAGAAATGGTCTACTTTCCAATAATAAGAAAAACATGTCTTCAGACCTGGTCTATAGCAGCTCACAAGAGCTTTAGCTACACTGTCAATTTAATAAGAACCGCGAGTGAAATTTTTTATTTTCAAGAAAATTTACCGCCAAATCCAAAAATTATAATTATGATCAGTTTTTACGCCGATAGTAAATCAATTAATCCAAGTAGTAATAATATAAGGAGTGAAGCAATACTCATCAAGACTTTAAATTATTAGCGGTTTCCATCCAAATTTTCGCCTAAAGTTTACCATACACAACAAAAAAATGTAATTTCCCCTTGAAACTTAAAAAACAAATCAAAGAAGGAAAACAAAAAAAAAAAAAGGATTTATAATAAAATTAATTTATTTCTTGTTACTAAATCCTTTTTTCAAAACAACGAAAAAGAACACATCACACTTAGAGCAACGTGTCGTCACCAACCTCCAAGCTCTCGGTTGTAAGAAATTAAATTAATAAATTCTATAAGACAAAATACATTTCTTTTTTTTTTAAAAAAAAAAAAAAAATACTTTAAATCTAGGTTTAATAATTAATATTATTTTTCACAATGTAAACAATTATGTTGTTATATAAAAGATTCTATTAAAAATATTTAATAACTAAATTATCCCAACGACCATTCATTAGCCAACTTGCTGAATGTAATAAATGCATCCTTGTATAAGAATGAAAATAAGATTTAGACGAGTCACTTTAAAAAAAAAAATCAAAACGTAAGATAAAAACAAACCTCCTTTGTGCAATCTGGTATTTGTTTATCAAAGACAGGATAATTCATTAAAACTGTGGTGTGTAATTGTTTTGAATGGAAAGCCGACAACTTCCCATACCCCCCAGGAGAAATTACCTGCAAAACAAATATCTTAATAAAATAAAAAGGAAATTGCTATCAAAAAAAAAAAAAAAAAAATAAGAAATTATTATATACCCGATAATCTGTTTTGCTCAAAATCCAATTTTCGATAACAGCGTTAGTTACATCATCAATGTGATCGTGATGGCCATGATAAGATTTGATAGGTAAACCAGAAATGATAACATGCTCCAATTTCTGTACAGCCTCATCCCTTAAAGCTACAGAATCAGTAATAAGGAAATAAATAACTTTCTGGTCCGGTGCAGCATAAGTTCGTGTAAGCTGATCTGCGCAACGGAAAAAGTACTCGTAATCTTGCAACGCATTCGTATCTTCTCTCGCTCTTATTTGAATTCCCACGGAAAAGATATTACGAATTGAAAATAATGAGGTATATTTTGTGATGAATGACATTGCGGGAGGAACTGGGCGGAATAAATAATCGAAAATACATCCGAACGCTGTGTGCGGCCTTAATCCAATATCTTTTAGAGGCTGTGCATAATATTTTGAATCAAAGGTCCTAATAATCATTCCTCGATTTGTATAAAATTTGATAAACGGATCTGGATATTTGGTAGTCCAATTGGAAAGTAAAAAGTGATTATCTAGACGTTGAGAATCAAAGTCAATGACACTAATCTCAATAGTCGTCAGGTCTTTGATAACCGATTCTGGACTTAAAGAATCAAAACTCCAGTCAATATTGGGAGAATCAAAAATTTTATCAAAAGGAAGAGGTGCCTGCCAATCCGCAAGATAAGCTCGATTTGTGAGTAAAGCAAATAAAAACGTGGAGGTCATGCCAAGTATTCTTAAAAATCAATTAAGATTATGGGTCAGTTTGATTGATGTAAAAAATAAAAATTATAATTTTTTTCAAAAGAATACTTTTAATATAATACCGATCAGCTAAACCACCACAATTCGAACTGGCTTCGCAAATATAGGCAACGTATTTTTGATCTTCTTTTCCAGCCAAGATATCTTCGTGTAATTTGGCATAATCCTTTTGCCATGTTCCACATGAAGAATCAAGACTTTCATCAGTATTCATCTCAGTTAATTGTGTTGTAGAAATTTCATTTCGTTCTTCTTCAGTAAGTGAAACAAGGACGTCATCATACGTGAAATGTGGATTTGGGGCTTGATAAGTATACTTTGCATAATCAACCGTGCCGTCACTTGATCTTGATTCATCAGACTTATAATGCCTAAGTTTATTTTTGCTAAGTTTATTAGGTAAGCCTGTTACATTTAACTTATCCACCGTTTCTAAATTTTCCGAGATATTATTATTACTCGTTTCATCCAACTGATTCTTTGATTCGCTGTTATTCACAAGAATTTCATCAGAACGTCCAAAACTTGTATCTTTAATTTTGTTCTCATCAACATCATCTGTAATTGGATTAGGTTCAATCTTAATATCTTCAAGGATACTTCCTTCCTGCTTTGGTTGATTTGTTTCTTCGGCTAATGGAGCGACATCTTCTGGATTAATATCATTTATCACATTATCAGCCAAAGGCTTGTCTGTGGCCAATTCATTTGATTCTTGATGAATGACATTTTTAAATTCGTCCACATCATCAATATCATTGTCTTGAACTGCCAAATTATTATTTTTATCATCATCATCTCGTAAAATTTCTGCATAAGGTTCATCCCAAACTTCAGGATTTTCATTGACGCCAGATTTATCATCATAATCATCATCATCATCATCATCAATGATAGCATTAGAACCCGAGACATCTATTTTTTGATCATTTGGTTCTACTTTAATTGAATAATCTAATTCATCAAAGGGAGGACCTAATCCGCTTAAACTTCCAAGAAAGAATACGAGAGCGCAAAAAAATATTAATTTTGATATTACATTTTTTAATTCCAAATGTAATATACTATCAACATATGTTTTTTGTGGTTTTTTCGGTTCTTTTGACGGAGTGGGAGGTGGGTTTGATATTAGATTTTTATTAATGTCTTCACTTATTGGGGGGAGAGTAGTTGAATTATTATTACTATTATTGCTACTAGTCGTCGAAAGAAGATTCTCTGAAGAATTATTGCTTCCTGCACTTAGACTCATAGCACGACGATGTGGTTGTTGTCTTGGTGGAGCCATCTTTTTCAATAATTAATAAGAAGTTGGACTTTGTTTAATTAATTAAATTCTAATAGATCTATGCGAAATTGTGAAAAAAGAGAGGATGAAAAAAAAAAAAAAAAAAAAAAAAATCTGAGAGAATTAATTAGCATACTTAATTGAGAAACGATCTGTTTACGTGTTTAACATGGTGTAACATTATGTTTTGGCCGAAATTACTTTGACATCCATCCATTAATAGTTGTACAAGGAATAACAAGTTGTAAAACTAGTTTTTTTTTAAAAAAAAAAATTTTATTTTTTATTTACGAAATCCACGATTTATCATATCGATTTGTTTTTTTGCCTTATTGATAAAATCCAGTTTTGTGAAATTGAAAATGTCGTGACCTTTTTGATTTACAACCAAAATACTTGAGCAAACATGATAATTTCGAATAAAATTTCCCTAGATTATTTAAATGTGGGAACATGTCTTTGATTGAAAATTTTTCGAAACAAGTTGGTCACGAATTTGTTTAGGCAATAAAGAAAAAACATTGAAAAAGTTTTCTTTTTGAGCAGACGCGAGATTTTTGTTATAATGATAACTCAATTATCATGTTATTAAAGTTTTTTTTTATTAATAAAAATACAAACTATTTTATGTGATGAAACCGATCACACGAGAAAAATAAAAAAGCAATATATATAGCTTCCCTTTAGCCTTTTATCTACACACAATGCATTTTTTTTTTTATCCCATCTCTACAGATTAATTTATGAATGCAAAAGAAATTGTAAAATTATAAATATGATTTATAGTATAGTATATTAAATTGGTTGACAGGTTCGACTATTATTAAGGTTTGAATTATTTAGTCATAAGAAAGCACTTATAACATATAAGCGGCCATGCACATGCTTGAGAATACGACTCCAGCGGTGACAGCATAAGCAGAAGTATAGGTTTGAGCAGCGGCAGAAGCGGGGGCTTTTCCGTCAGCAGGGGCTTTTCCGTCAGGTGTTTTACCATCAGCGGGTGCAGTTTTGTTGTCGCCACCAATGAGAATAGTACCGGTCATACCATTTGCGCAATGTTGAGCAACACCGCAGTAGATCCATTTCTTGCCAGAAGCATCTTTAATGTCAAGAACCCATTCTTTAGGAGCTTCGTATATTTCGGTAGTGAAAGCATTTGGAGTTTTTGATGCGGTACAAGCTCCCTTTGCATCAGATTCGATGACGTTGTGTTTACCCGAAACCCAAACGAATTTGACCTATTATTATCGAAATAAAAGTAAATATTTTGTGAATAAAATGATATTTTGACATTCAATTTATAGCAAAGGAGACATCAAAGATTGTTTATACATACGGTATCACCCATGGCGGCATTTACGGTGTCAGGTTCGAACAAATTTTTTCCTTCTTTGGTACCAACGTTAACTAAGTGTTCCGCAGCTTGAGTTAAGGCAATGAGACCAGCGAGAAATAAAAAGACGGTAATAGCTTTGTTCATTTTGATTATTATTTTGTTTGTGAAAAGAAAAAGTAAATGTAGTTTTATTTTTTTGATTTAGGTGAGTAAATTTAAATTTTGTTTTTTTTTTTGTGAGAGTAGGATTTGTTGAGATTTAGAGAAGGTAAAAACTAGTCGTATTTATAAGTAATTTTTTTCTTAATGATCGATATAAAACCTTACCCCGATAAAAAAAAAAAATAAAATAACAATACAAAAGAATACTATCTTTTCTTTGACTGTTGTGGTAAGGTAAATATGTAATAAATGTAATATAAAAATATTTATTTCCTTTGTACGTTTGAAAAACTCGAAAACGGTAAGAGGCTGAAACCATAAACACCGATTTACATAATTTAAAATTAATTTGCTAATTTACACAAATAAATTATGTGGTACAAAGAAAGCATTCTGTGACATTGGAATTTTCTTTTGTTAATGATTTAGTCCTAAAAAGTAAAATAAGTTCATCGGCCCCTGATTAGGAAAATGAAATAAAATTGCCCTTGATGATCTCCGTCAATTCGGTTTAGTTCGGGCGAGGAATAAGAAAAAAAGTTGGGCAAAAAGTACGTGAAAATCCGAAAAATTATGTTATGACGGCCGTTTATAAAATGTTATCGGAACTACTAAATGACGTTAATGCTGAGATAAACGCGGACGTTCTATTGCCGTTTCTCCCGAGTTTCCGTTTTTTGGGAGGTGAAGGAGGAACAACACCTTTTGTGAACGCGAATAATTTTGCGAAACATTAACAAATATTTGTTTATTCAAATGATTTATTAAAAAAAAGTTAATCTGTAAAAACGATGATGTAAAAAAAAAATAAATTGAAAAAAGAAATTTACAAAAAATGTGACACCGCTGTAACAACTTCATTGATCAAGGATGTTACATTACGTTGTATTTTGTACGATATCTAAAAAAAAAAAAAATCCTTTATGATCAGAAGAAAAGGTTTTGATTGAAACAAAGGAGCCTACGGATTTCAGCCCGCAATGGTACCAAATGCTTTCGGAAGTTTGTAATCGTGAATTCCTTCGACGGAGGATTAGTCGCAGATTCGACTTTGTTATTATCGTTGTTAGGCATTCGTTTTCATTTTTCGTTTTTGATATTTTTTTTTTTTTTTTTTTTTTTTTTTTTCGGCGAATTCATTAAGATCGGCAAATTTCTCGCAAGAATTTTCGATGCTGGTCTGAATAACCTGACACATATTTAAAAATGACCAAAATAGAAATAATCGAAATGTAAATAATAATAAATAAAATTTAAATTGCGTAAGACAAATAAAGGATCAAATTTGTACCGAATCACCGGCTACGGTCTGGCAATGAAAATTTCAAATCAAACTTTGAAGACAACAAGGGTTTTGTCAAAAGAACGAACGTAGAAAGAACTTTATTCATTATTGTTTTTATGATTATTGTTTTCTGGTTTGAAAGACAATCGTTGTTGTTAGGTATGCTTGTGAACCTCCGCAAGTGTTTCATAAATCTTGACGACCGTTTTCTTCAAAATTTTAATAATTCCATGTGAACTCTATTCGAACACAATCAAAGTGCCAAAAAGAGAAATGTGATGATTTCCTGATTTGGAGATATAATTTTGTTTTTTGTAATACATTTCAAAGACTTTCTTTTGATAAACATTACTGCTATTAAGGGTTTTAATCAATCTTTGTGAAATGTAACTCATTTTAGACTAGATAAAATTATAAGATTCAATTTCAATTTTTTTTTTTTTTCCAATGGCAAAAATCTCCTCTTATCACAAATGCCGTACGACAAATGACTAATATCTTTTGTGTTCCATAATTAATTTAAAATTTCTTAATCGGTAACAGTTTTATTCTTTGGAAATGATATTAATAATAACTTGAAAGTTTGGCTTTTGTCAAACATTTCGTTGAGTACCGAATTTTTGTGCGACAAGCGAAATTGCCTCTGAACTAATTTTTTTTTTTTTTTTGTTTGATTCTGTGTAAATAAATTATGCAGTTAAGCATACTATCACACAAAATTATCTTCATTGACACGAATTAGGTGAGAGGAATTTCTTGCCAAGTTTACTTGAGCTACATGATATTATTATTATCAGAATAAGTTACTTTTTGCTATGATTGAATATAACTTTTGGGTCATAAATTTGATCAATTGACATGACATGCTTTCACTTAAAATCGAAAATGGGTTGTATAATGTTTTACAACATTTTTTTTTTTTTTTTTTTTTTTTTCATGCACCAACTCGTTAAAATCGTTTGATATTATTTGATAGCTAATCGCCGGGACTCCTCGGAGTTTTATGATAAAAATGGTAATTTGAGATATCTTTTTAATTTATTGAGATAGAAGTTCTTGAACATTGTATCCTTGAAAGATAAACCACCTCAATTACGACAATAGCATGGTCAATTAAAACGTTTCCCGTGATGATCAATTAATTTGCTATTGTAACAATCATGAAACTACTATTATAAAATCATTATCTTTGTTCTCTCCCTTACAATTTGTGTTTTTTTTTAAAAAAAAAAAAAATGTATAAGCAAAATTTTAACTTTGTTCTTGAACCTGTTACATTAAATGGCAAGAGAATTCGCCTTGAACCATTGGTCGTATGTTGTTGATCTGCATAATGCAACGTAACCATTTTATTTATTTATTTTTTTTATTATTACAATAACCTTAATCAACATTCCATTTATAGCCTTCCATCCATGCAGAGGAACTATTTGAGGCTTCACACGCAACCCTTGAAACAAGGAACGTTTTTGAATATCTTCCATATGGTCCATCTAATAATTTTAAAGATTTTATGAAACTTTTAAATGATATCAACCAAGATAAGCATACACTTTTATTTTGCATCATTGATGTTGCTTCAGATAAGAAGATTGGAGTTGTTGGGTATACAAGGACTTTTTTTTTATGATTATTATTATTTTATTTTTTCTTCGTTCTCTAATTTCCAATTTCCAATTTCCCCCCTCACTTTTAGATACTTGGATACGCAACCAACCCATAAAAAAGTTGAAATCGGACACATATGGATTACGCCATCATTTCAACGCACTTACGCCAATACCGAAACCAACTTTCTTTTATTGCAGTATGCTTTCGAATCACTTCAATATATTAGAGTTACGTGGAAATGTGATGCCAGGAATGTCAATTCACGTAAAGCCGCCGAAAGGTTAGGGTTTAGGTATGAGGGTACATTGAGAAATCATTTGTTGATTAGGAAAATCGTTAATGGGATTGAAATCGTACATAAACGTGACTCGGATTATTTGTCAATTATTGATAGCGAATGGAATGGTGTAATGGAAGATTTGTTAAATAAATTAAAATGATTAAAGAACATTTATTTCGTTTCGATGTTTTTTTTTTGGATCAGCATAAGTAACATGTGCTTTAGATCAAATGTATTACACTGCGGATTTTTTTTGCACCAAGTCAAACCATTGTTCTATTGCATAATGAAAGTTGTAACCTTAAATTTATAAAAATTCCATCTTTCGTGTTGAAATCAACACCAGCTTATAACCAATTCCGTATTTGATCCGATATTGCTGTACACACTTTACAATCAGGTCGAAAGGTTGCGTGAGGTTTCAGCAGCATATAAACATGGACTTTCTTTGGTCCAAAATATATAATAAAGTCTCTTGCACTCACTACAACTTCTGCACGTCATCGTGCCGGCAAAGGCAATCAATATATTACATATCATCATGATGTTTATTTTATAAAATAATTTTTTTTTTTATTCGGAGATTACGATCCTAAAGATGTGAAAAGATGTGGGCGGGACAGCTCTTCTAACAAAAACGTTCTCGCAATTCTTTGAAAATCGATTTGAATCAAAACCCTTCTAATTACTTTAGTAACTTCAAAACTTTTCTTTAATTTAAGAGGGACTGAAATCTTATATCTGAAAGCGTAATCTATTATATTAAGTACTGCTTTGTATTTTTACCTTTATAGTAATGGAGTAATAGAGGAACAAATTACAATTACAGGAAAATGTTTACAGTAAATAATTATTTAATGTTAAAATATTAAAGGTATTCATTTCATTTAACTTACTATGAGAAATAGCATTATGCTTTTTTTTTTTTTTTTGATGCAAGTAAATTATATTCGACACGAAAAAGGGATGCGCGAGAAAAATTAAATACATTTGTTACATTCTGCATAGCATAATTTTTGATCATCTGCATTGGATGAGTTTATGAATAATAAAATGATTTTTTCTTTCTTTTTACAAAAAATATTGTATCATTCTTTGATAATGGATTAAAATAAGAAGAGAATCCGAAATTTATTAAATTTAATTAAAAATTGTTTTATCTTATGAATGTGTAACGCTCGGAATGATAAGAAATTGGTCCGGCAATCTATTGCATTCGGAATATCATCTGTCCGATTTCAATAATGTTAACCTAAATATGTACTCATTAGCGAAACCTTATATATGCGAAATCTGGAATTGTATCTCAATCGATCCGAATAATGGCTTTGCGGGTTTCGCGTGCTCAGCCATTGCAGTAATTATGAGCCTCATTAATCTCTATATCTTATATTTAAAAGATTTGGGTAAATGAATCTTTATGACAAAGCGAGACTTAATTGGTTAATCTGGCGCGGACTCGGAATTATATAAATAATACAAGTCGCGTCTTTTTTAGAAAAGTTAATTTAATTTAACTAATTATCTTTGGTAATAAACGAATGAAAGGACGACAAGTTACCGATCTTCAACGAATTCTACCAATTCCAAAAATAGTAATTATACATTATATATACCGCTATAATTTTTTTTTTTTTTTTTCCTCGACTTCTTTCTCACTTCCTCCCCAAATTCGGGATTCTAAAAGTAATTTTGGTTTTTTTTTTTTTTACACACGATGTCAGGTAAATCAGGTTAGCACGTGAGAATATTTTGATCTATCCAAAAAAAGGATTATTTCATATTTTAGAAATCAATGATAAATTCTGCGAAAAAACATCTACCCCGATTCATTAAATTATCATGATCCTTTTCAAATGAAGCCAATAGTGATTCGAATCCGACGGGCTTTCATTTAGACATAGAAGAAGATTATCTTATACGACGTGTTTCACATGAACGGAATAATTTTGAAACCACAACCTCAAATTCAATCCTAATTCCAAGTAACACTAATTCTAAAATCAATATTATCAATTTACAAACCCCAACAGCAAATTCTAATCCTTCCTTAAATGAAGGAATGTTGAGTACAAGTTCTGAAGGTTTTGGTGAAACGAAGCAAAGAAACTTTGTTGATGACGACGAGAAGGAGGAAATTCTCTTGGAAACTCTGGGCGCCTCAACAGAAACCAGTGGAATCAGTGTTGAAGCGTACCCTCGTTTAACCACACAAGATTATCAGAATGTAGCATTACTCGTTGTACTTTGTGAGTAAAACATTGCTTATTTATATTTATATTATTTTATTTTTTTTATTTTTATTTTTTGGTTCGATCGCTAACAATGAAATGATTTACAGATTTATTACAGGGAATTCCTGTCGGATTGGCATTTGGTTCAATTCCATTTCTTCTAAAATCAAAATTATCATATTCGCAAATTGGGTTCTTTTCTTTGGCGTCTTACCCTTATAGTTTAAAATTATTATGGTCACCGATCGTTGATGCTACTTATTCAAAGAAGGTTGGGCGCAGAAAAAGTTGGATCATACCGATTCAACTGTTAACCGGAAGTTTATTTTTCTGGCTCGGGAATAATGTGGATGTAATTTTTGATGATGAAAAACCTGACGTGTTTACTTTGACATTATTATTTTTTATATTGATATTCTTTTCGGCTACACAAGGTATCAAAGCTTATTTTCATTTGTATAAATTTTATCCATTAATATAATATAATTTTAAATTCTTTGCTTTTATAATTGTAGATATCGCTGTTGATGGTAAGAATTTTAATGAATTAGATTTTATCATTATTATTTATTCATTAATCTTTTTTTTTTTTTTTTTTTTTTAAAAAAAAAAAAATAAATTATTAGGATGGGCGTTGACATTATTATCCAAGAACAGTCTTTCTTATGCATCAACGGCACAGACTATAGGGTTGAATACGGGATATTTTTTATCATTTACGGTATTTTTGGCACTCAACTCTGCCGACTTTAGCAATAAATACTTTAGGACAGAACCAAGCGACGTTGGATTTATATCATTGGGATCATATCTTTCATTTTGGTCCGTCTTATATTTTGTTGTAACTGTTTGGTTGATTTTCGTTAAGGGAGAGGTTTGTGTTTTAATATTTACATATATAAAATCTTATGAAAGCGCGATTTAAATTGATTGCATTCTAGGATGCCACTCATGCTTCCGATGAGATGGATATCAAAACGGTATATCAGACGATATGGAACATCTGTAAAATGCCCCGTAAGATTATCGCGTAAACTTTATATGACGTATGCTAGTATAACAACATGCACAAAGTGCTAATCATTTACTTCCCTTAAACATGTTAGATATGCGTAAACTTATTTTAGTTTTACTTGTGGCAAAAATTGGATTTATCGCAAATGAGGCGGTTACTGGATTGAAACTTTTGGAAAAGGGCTTCGGTAAAGAGGACTTGGCTTTGGCTGTGTTGATTGATTTTCCATTCCAAATTTTAGTTGGATATTATGCTGCCAAATGGAGTAATGGTCCGCAACCTTTAAAGCCTGTAAGTGTTTACATTTATATTAACAATTTCTCGTAATCTGAATAACTACTTCAACAATGTTTCAATATTTTTTTTATTTTCGTAGTGGATTAGAGCATTTTATGGTCGATTATTTTTTGCCATTGTTGGAATGTTGGTTGTATATATATTCCCGGGTAACACGCAGATTTCCTCTGGAATGTTCATTGTTGTGATAGCTAGCACGGTTTTGAGCTCGTTTATGAGGTGTGATTTATGGTTAATTTTGAATTTGAATCCAAGTTAAATTATATCAGACGGACAATTAATACATCGTTTTGATCTGAATTAGTACCGTACAATTCGTTAGTATATCAGCTTTCATGACTACAATTGCTGACCCAGTTATAGGCGGAACATATATGACGGTAAGTTTTTCCTTTAATAATTAAGTATTATAAAGCGAAGTTATATTAAATGTTCCTTTACAGTTGTTGGCTACCTTTAGTAACTTTGGAGGAACGTGGCCTAGGTTCTTTGTTCTAGAAGCTGTTGATTATTTCACAGATGCCACATGTAACATCATTAAAGAAAGTAATACAACTAGCAGTAAGTTTTTTTATTCATTTACATATATGAATTATATTAGATTAGCTATTTTCTAATATATGAATATTTGTTTAGCAATACAATGTGTTTCGGAGCAAGATAAAATGATATGTAAAGACAATGGTGGCACTTGTGTTATACATCAAGATGGTTATTATATTGTATCAATCGCAACGGTTGCAATTGGTACTCTTTTGTTGTTTGGATTCATTATTCCGCAGATTAAAGTCCTACAAGGTAAGAAATAAAAATTATTGCTATTATTTTTTTATAGTTTTTAAATTTTTTTTTTTTTTTTTAGCTTTACCTCCTAAAATGTGGAAATTAAAAAGATGAATTAATGAATTAAGTTAATGAATATTATTATTTAATCACGAATCATGTGAAACTGTGTACGTTTTATAATTTTTGTAGATTATAATAAAAATTTTGATTAATGTAATAAACTAAAAATAGTGAATCTTCATTTTTAATCAAAATATAAATATAATTTAATTTCAAACCTTTATTAGTTTTTTTTACTTTATACTTTACAAAAATCATGATATATATATATATATATTAATTCAATATCAATTTGATATTATTATCAAATTAATATTTTTGATATTATATATAATATTAGATTAATTATAAGAAAATTTATTTCTATTATCATTCTAGAAGATTAGATAGATTTATTTCTAATCCTTTGTATTTTCTTATATTCATAATTTTATCTGTTTTAATAATAAAAACAAATTATTTATATATATAATACATCATATATTAATAATATTCTATATCACTATAAATTTATTTAAATTAAAAAATAATTATTAATTATAAAAATATACAGTTTGCTTATAAATATTTTAAGATAACATTTTTTATTATATACATTTGCAGAATCTGTAGAAGCTCTTATAATAATAATAATAATTTATGAATTTTATATATTATTCATATTTTTAGATTATTTAACTTTTATTATAAGGATTTTTATATTTTAATAAGAATTTTTGTAGATTTTTATATCAATTGCAAATTATTAGTTTGTGAGTTAAATTATAT